CCACGAGGTGCGCTGCCATGGGAACAGAGGGCCCTGTGTGTGTAGGGTATCTGGGTCCAGGTGGCCTCAGGAGAAACCGCTGACAGGGTCACCTGCCAAAGCTATAAAAGGAGACCCTGAGGGAATTCCCTGGTGGTCTGGTGGTAAAGACTCTCACTGCTGAGGGCCTGGGTTCAATCCCCAGCTGGGGAACTAAGATCCCACAAGACTTGTGGCACATCCAAAACAAAAAACCAAGAGGCCCCTCCCCCAGGTTTGGGGGGTTTGCTTCTTTAGGGTAAGCAGCATTAGGGATTTCAGGGAGGGGGACAGTTAGGAGCATGGACTGCAGGCAGCTGGCCTGGGATGAAGGCTGGCCCGGCCATGTGACCCTGGGCATATGACCTGCCCTTCTTGGGCCTTGGTTTCCTCCTGATACAGGAAGGGAAAATAGTACCTTCCTTATGGAGCTGCTGAGATGGACCTGAGCGAATACAGAGTGCTGTTCAGAGTGCAGAAAAGTTCCCAGCTCTTGTGATGATTTGTAGCCATAATTATTATTTAACATAATTTTTCTTTATTTTTGGCTGCATCAGGTCTTAGCTGTGGTACGTGAGATCTTTGTTCTGGTGCTCAGGCTCAGGGATGGTGGTGCTCAGGCTTAGTTGCTCTGGGGCATGTGGAATCTTAGTTCCCCAACTACGGATTGAACCTAAGTTCCCTGCATTGGAAGGCAGATTCTTTTCTCATTGAAGAAAATAATTTTATTTATTTTTGTATCTTTGGCTGCACTGGGACTCTAGCTGCAGAGAGCAGGGGCTACTCTCTAGTTGTGGTGCAAGGGCTTCTCACTGCAGTGGCCTCTCTTGTTGTGGAGTGTGGGCTCTGGGGCATGTGGGCTCAGTCAGTACAGTTCCTGGGCTCTAGTGCACAGGCTTAATCGTTGCGCATGCATGGGCTTAGCTGCTTCACTGCATGTGGGATCTGGAATGCAGATTCTTAACCACTGCATTGCCAGGGAAGTCTCCATGATTACTTACAGTTATTGTTCCCTGCATTCCTCCTTTGGCAGCTCTCCCCCTCCCTTTCCCAGCCTGTGTCTCTTTGGAAGCTGTCACCTCTCTGGGGCTGTCTCAGGAAGTCTGTGGTGATGTCACCAGGTGTATCTCCACGCTCTTCCATCTCTCTCATCCAAGTCCCTCTCTCTTCTTTCTCCTGTTATCACTGACAGATGAAAGAGCCACATTTGGGAGTCGGGCGGGCCCGTGTTTGAACCCCAGCTGCCTGGGCAGTGGCTCTGCAGGCCTGTCTCCTGACCCGTAGGACAGGGTACCAGTAGCACCTGCCTCCTGGGTGTTGTGAAGTTTAAGTGGATTAACTTAGGTAAAGCCCAGCCCACAGGAAACCCTCAGTGTGTGCCAGTTTTTACTGTCACATTTGTCATCAGTGACCATCACCCTCATCATCGTCACTGCCTTTGAGCTTCACATGCGAGGCACAAAGAGGAGGCTTGGGGACTTTGTCTCTTCTATCCTCGTGTTTGGTTTCACTTGACTGGTGACTAGAATCTGAAAAAAAAACGAGTTGCCAAGATTTAAAATCTGAGACTTCACACCAAAACCGGGATTTCTAGTTTCCTTTGGACCACAGGAGACGTGGCAGTCCTGGGCCCCTCCCTATATGCCAACAGCCGTCCACACCTGGGCGGCGTCGCCTCTCCTGACAGCCATCTGCTCAGCTGCCCCATCATCTGGGTTCTCTGGAAGAACTGATGTTTGAAACCCAACTAGAACAAGGGAGGGGCTTGCAAACCTGGTTAGACAAGAGGAAGGAATGTGTGCTAATTAAAAATTGTTTTATCTATTTATTTTTGGCTGTGCTGGGTCTTCACAGCTGCTGCTTGAGCTTTCTCTAGTTGCAGAAAGCGGGGGCTGCCTTCGTTGCGGTGTGCAGGCTTCTCATTGCAGTGGCTTCTCTTGTTGCAGAGCACAGGCTGTAGGGCACGTGTGCTTCAGTAGTTGTGGTTCCCGGGCTCTAGTGCACAGGATCACTAGTTGCGGCGCGCCGGCTTAGCTGGTCCACAGCATGTGAGATCTTCCTGGACCAGGGATCAAACCCATGTCTCCTGCATTGGCAGGCAGATTCTTTACCACTTAGTCTCCAGGGAAGCCCTGTATTTCTAATTTAAAAAAAAAAAGCCCAGTATCTCCCTAGGGCGGTGTGCCCAGCTCCACAAGGCAGTTTGTGAGCTGTGGAACCTGGAATGCTGCAAAGATCCCAGGAGGGAGGGGCTCTTACCATCATCCCCATTCTACAGATGAGGAAACAGCCTGGAAAAAAGGAAGCCCCTTGCCTCGGTCGCCAGTAGCAATTCCCTGGGGCTGAGCAGCTGCTGCCTCTTACCCTGAGGAGGCATTATCCACACCCTCAGTCCCCACCAGGCTCCTCTGACCCATTTAGGATCCTGCAGGCATTGGATTTTGTACCCCAGTTTGAAAAGGGGTAACAGCTAACACTGTTTTACATTAAATTTTTTTTTATTTTAGCTGTGTCAGGTCTCAGTTACAGCTCTCGGGCTTCTCTAGTCATTGACTTCTTTCTAGTTGCATTGCACAGGCTTAGGAGTTGCAGCACTGGGGCTTAGTTGTCCGAGTCCTTGTCCCTTGCATTGCAATGCAGATTCTTAACCACTGGACCACCAGGGAAATCCCTATTTTGCATTTGTTTATACAGGCCAGTCTTCTAAGAGCTTTATGTGGATTACTTCCTATATATAATATGCATAGCAGTCTTCGATGTAAATGGTACTTTTTCCATTATTCCCTCTTTGTATGTGATGACATAGAGATAAGGAGAGTTAAAAGTCCCCTGCCCAACTGTGGCAAAAAAAAAGAAAAGAAGAGTCCCCTGCCCAGAGCCCTGCAGCCTGTAAGTGGCAGAGCTGGGGCTTGAACCCAGGCAGCCTGGCTCCAAAGTCCATGCTATCAGCCACCCTCTCAGCTGTCTGCTGGGGCAGGGACCTTGGCCGTGCCTGCCCCTCCCTTTAACCTCATCTCTCCCTCTGCAGGTGGTAGGCAGTTCCCTCCTCTTTGTTCACGACCACACCGGCCTGGCCAAGGTCTGGATGATCGACTTCGGCAAGACTGTGGCCCTGCCTGACCACCAGACGCTCAGCCATCGGCTGCCCTGGGCTGAGGGCAACCGTGAGGATGGCTACCTCTGGGGCCTGGACAACATGATCTGCCTCCTCCAGGGCCTGGCCCGAAGTTGACCTGCTCCTCCATAACCAGGTTCATTTACTGGATGGTGCCCATCTGACTGGAGGGGCCCCGAGATGCGAGGGGGCCTGAGGTCAGCCACAGGGGAGCTGAAGTCCAGGGATGGGAGAGGTTGCATCGCACACCACACAAGACCAGAGTGGAAGATCCGAAGGGCCTTGGAGATGGGGGTGGGGCCTGCCCCACCCTTTGACGAGATGGGAGGTTATTAAGAACCGGAGAGGCAGTGTGACCTGGCTGGGGTCTGCAGTTGAGTCAGAACCAGACTGGGCCCCTGACCAGCCAGGAGGGAATGCAGAGGCTGCAGCTAAACCACGCGCCCTGAAAGAACACAGTGCACATGATTGCACAGTACAGGCGTGACCTCGGGCCTGTCACCACATGAGTGACTGTAACCACAGCCCCTCCCTCTGCGGGCTGGTTGCTGGCGGGCCGGGAGAACCAGACCTCATTAGTGAAAAAACGCAGCAGCTCTCCTCCCACCCAGCAGAGTTACAGCCCCCACTCTTCATCTGGGGGCTGCCAAGGCTGGCAGAGGCTCTGAGGGTGTGGTGCTGGGGGTCGGGCCTGAGAGCTGACACTGCTGGGCAGGGCTTGGTTCACCCTGTCCTACCTGCCCTTGGCCACGAGTTCCTCCCCTGCTCCTGGGAGAACTGCTGACCCCCTGCCGACCGAAACCACAGCCACATCCCATGCCGCCACCGTGACAGCACCACCTCGATCCTCAGGCACCAGCCTCAGCCTGGGGACTTCCTCCTTCTGCCCTCTGCCCTCTTCTGTCTCCTTCCTCCTAGCGGGCTGCGGTCACAGGAAGGGCTTTCAGACGCCAGGCAGACTTGGGCCTGGCTTGGGACCCAGCCACTTTCCTCAGTGCCCCCTCTCTGGCCTCTGCTGAGAAGATGCCCTGCTTGACTGGGCTTGAGGTGCAGGGTGGGTGGGGCTGGCAACTTGGTCCAAACCAAAAGACCCCAGCACCCTGAGGTGTGGGTGGAGCCCCTCCCCCTCAGCCAAAGCTCTGGAGTGGTCTTCCAGGCTGAGGGTTGCTCCTTTTCTACTGACCATCTTTATACTTATTTATACGAGAGAGGCAGTTGTTAGATGGGGCCGCGCTAGGGATCAGGAGGCAACATCGCTTCACTGCCTTCCCCCTGTGACAACACCCCAATAAACACATTCGTAGTCCACTTCGTGGAGTCTTTCTTTTGTGGAGTCTTTTTTTTTTTGTATCTGAAGCTTATGGGCTCAAAGCTCATAATTTGAGCGTCAGCGCTGCACGGGGTGAGGGGATAATGACAGGTCTCAGGTAGAAGTGGGCTCAGAGCTGGTGATTCATTCATCAGCTTCACTGAGTTGCTACTCCTGTGCCTGGCTCTGTGCAGGGGACAAGGGTGACTGAGACAGCTCGGTTCAAGGGCTCCCAGGACGGTGCACCAGACACTGCCAACCTGGGTGTCAGGGTGGGATGGGTAAGAAACACTCCACTGTACAGTGTCTAATAAAACCCTCTTCGGGCACTGGGGACACAGCATGGAGCGAGACAGACCTGTTCCTCCCCTTTCTCAGTGGATGCAGCAGGCAGTCATTGAATGGTAATCTCTCTGTCCCTGCCACCGGTCAGCCGTGACCTCAGGCCAGTGACAGCACTTCTCCAGCCTGTTTTTCCCTCAAACTGGGAGGACCTAGTACCCTCCTTATATGAGTTAACAGGGTTGTGAAGGGGTTGGCACAAATAACTAGCAGTGGGAGCTTTTGCTTTTTAAATCAGGAGAGAACACAGGTGGGAGAGGTGCTGAGCCTGAGGGCCTCTTCCCTGAGGAAATGACAAGCAGCCAGGACTGAGGAGTTCAGGAGTTGTACCGGAGGACGGGGTGCAGGGACCGGACACCACAGGCACCTGAGACCACAGGCAGTGGTGGCAGAAAGTGTGAGAAGGAAGAGCCTGGGGTGAGTTTAGTATCCAGGAGGATGCTGCATGAGGAGCATACAAGAGGTGCTGGAAGCTTTTCTGGAAGGCAGTGGTGAAATGTGGTTTGTGTTTGGATTTTGTTTCTGGCCACACCATGTGGCATGCAGGATCTTCGTTCCCAACCAGGGATCAGAACCTGTGCCCCCTGCAATGGAAGCACGGAGTCTTGACCACTGGATCGCCAGGAAGTCCATGGTTCGTGTTTTAAAAGGCTTCCCCTGCTCGACGTGAAGACACTGGGAGGCAGCAAGGGGTGCAGGGAGAGGGTGGTTGGCATCCAGAAATGGGTGGGTGCAGCACTGATGGTGGGGGATGGACAAGTCCTGGGGTCTCAGCAGTTGTCAGTCTTTCCCCTGCAGAGAGGCAGCTGGTCTGTGTGGCTCCTGGCTATAACCCCAGCCCAGAGTAGGTGCTCAGTACTGGCAGGTGGGCTTGGGGGAGTTGGGGGTGATGCCCAGGATGGATTCGGGGGGACCCTGCATGAAGAATCTCTGGTTGGAGGTCCAGTCCAACCCCTCAGGCTGTCACTCAGAAGGAGAAGCTGAGGCACGCTGTGTATGGTGACACAGCTGAGCTGGGGCCGCAGCAGCCTAGTGGCTGGAGTCGTATGGTCGGAGGAGCAGGGCCTGGCCACAGAGGCCGGCCTGCACCCCGCCGGCAGGCACCACGTACTCCCGGCCATCCGCAGCCCGAGAGGGCGAGAAGTCCGTCAGCTGCAGGTTGCTATCCCGGACCTGGTCATAGTCCCACAGCTGGTGGTGCCAACTCTTGCCCTGCTTGGCGAGCAGGTAGACAGCCCCCGGGGAGCCTTCTTCCGGCAGGGATGGTGGCTGGTGGGGTGTGCCGGGCACTGGGTGGAATAGGCCTGGCAGCTCGGGATCCTCCGAGTAGCCAAGGCTGGGCACACGCTGCACACCTAGCAGGACCCCTGGGGGGAGAGGGGGAGGCTGTGAGGAGCAGCTGAGTCCTGACGAGGGGCTGGGGCTCCCGGAGTCCCCCCACACACCCCCCCCNCCGGGGGGGGGGGGTGCTGCCAAGATCCCTGCACTGTACACAGCGAGGGCACAGCTGGGCTTGGATCTGAACCCACAGTGCTGGGCTGGAGAACTGCAGGCATTTTACATCCTGCCGATAGCTTGGCAGCAGTGAACAGAGCAGACATCACCGCCTAGCTGTTGCGAGCTGTCCCGGAGAGCCGTGCTCAGAGGCGTGCACACCAGGGCGCCGCCTTCTAGCAGGCAGGCGGAGAGACGAAGGTGCTGACTATAGCTAACAACAACAGACGTGGAACATACCAGGCACCATTTAAAGAATTTGAACATTCAAACAGCCCTCTGTCCTGGGAACTGTTGTCACCCTGATTTCCAGATGGGGACCTGGAGGCCCAGAGTCACAGAGCCTGGGAGTGTCTGGGCCAGGTTTGCAGTCCAGTTTGATCCTCCTCTGTGCTCTGAGTTTCTTGTTTGGGAAAAACCCTGATTGACAGATGCTGAAGTACCTGCTGCCGGACCCTGCTAACTACCCTGTAGGGACAAAGGTGGTCCAACCCTGGCTCCCGCCTGGAGTACTGTGGAGGGGCTGGCACGAGGGTGAGCATGTGAGGAGGGGAGACTGGGGATCAGGGAGGCCCACGGTGAGGGTCCAGGGCAGGGGAGGGGGAACCCACCTGCGCTCACAGCCCAGTGGGCCTTGTGGCCCTTCCTCTGACACGGCTCGTGGTTGAAGTCCTCGTCGTAGCTGCACTGCAGTCAAGGTCAATGCTGCGGGGCGGCCCCGGGACACCCGCCCCCCTCGCCGACTCCCCCCATCCCAGCCCAGCTCCCTCCCTGACCCTGGGATACGGGATAAGGAGGGGGTGTCCGGCGACAATGTGCTGCAGGACGTGGTCTCTGTTGGGACTGCCAAGGCCACCGCAGAGCACCTCTGCCTGGCAGCCCAGTGCCTCTTGGGCCAGCCTGCCCATGTCAGCCACTGCAGGGACAGAGCAGACACACGAGGAGCAGTCACTGCGCACCAGACACTGGGAAAAGGCTTTTAGGAATCAGTGCCTATAACCCTCACCTTGACCATCATCTCTTTGTACAAATGTGGAAAATGAGCCACAGAGAAAGACACAGATCCTGTATTAATGCATGTGTGTGCAATTTAGAAAACTGGTACACACGATCCTATTGGCAAAACAGAGACACTGACACACACACGCAGAGAATAAATGTGTGGGTACCCAGGGGGCGGGGGTGGGAGGAACTGGGAGACTGCAACTGACACATGTATACTATTGATACTATGTGTGAAACAGACAACTAATGAGAATCTGCTGTCTAGAACAGGGAACTCAACTCAATGCACTATGGTGACCTAAATGACAAGGAAGTCCTACAGAGAGGAGATACATGTCTGTGTATGGCTGACCGATCCTGCTCTCCAGCAGAAACTGACACAGCATTGTGAAGCAACTCTATTGCAATAAAAACTAAAAAAAAACGTGTGGGGAACAGAGAGGATAAGTTGCTTGTCTATGGTGACGCAGCAGGAAGCAGCAGAGCTGGGCTGGGAACCCAGGTGGCCTGGTTCCAGAGTCCACCTTGTAACACTCTGCTCTACTTCAGCGGGGGTGGGGGGTGGGGGTGGAGTGGGGTGAAGGGCGCAAAGAATGGAACAAAGTTCCCCATGTGCCTGATGTGTCCCAGCCAAGCTCTCCAGGCCCCTCCTGCAGGACATCTGGGTGACACCCTTCCACACCCAACCTACCTGAAAACATTTCCCCCTGGGCCGTGTATCCTCTCTCCATGGCCACCTGCACGAGTCTCTCCAGAGGGGTGCCGCCGGGGGGCGCCAGGAGGGTGCCTGCCATCCACAAGGCCACCAGCCCACACCTGGGGAGAGACAGGCCCAGTCCCCCAATCTCTAATTCGAGTCTTTCCTGGCCCCCTCGGCCCTGGAAGCTGGAGTGTGGGGAATAGTTTGCCGCCCTGGGGGAATTCCCTTCTTGTCTCCCACGGTGAGTGGGGAGACCGGACTTCCTCCTCCTAGGAGAGAGGATGGCCAAGGCCTGAACTCAAGGCTGGAGGGCTGTGGTGGGGTGAGAGGGTGGGAGGTTAGGCAGACATGTCACCTGGGCTTCCAGGAGGAGCAGGTGCCAACAGGGAGTCAGAGATAACGGACCAGATTCATTTGTCCACTTGCTTGTTTGTTTCAACTGTTTACTGGGCATGCTCCCAGGACCCTGACCTGGGTAAGTTCCCCTTCTCCCTCCCCTCCTCCTTCCCCCTAGGCTGCCTGGGATGAACCCACTCTTCCCACACTCCCCGGTCAATCCTCACAGAGGCTGGTGAGGGCAAAGGCTTGAGGGCACAGCTGGCCAAGGGGCTGGGGTCCCAAATCAGGGTACGTACTGAGGGCCTTCTTGGATGAGGGAGGGCAGGTCAGCACAGAAGAGGATCCACTGCAGGTCACTTCTGAAACTGAATCAGAGGCACATTCAGGTCATGAGGCAACCAGTTCCTAGGGTCTCACCCTCGAGGGCTGCTCTTGGCTGGGTCAGACTGCCTTCATCCCTGATGAGACACTTCCCTTCCCCACCTCTGTTTTCTCATCTGTTCAATGGGAATCATTCTTCTGCCTGCTATTCCCTGCTTTTTCTCAGCTATTGAAGGGGTAAAGAGCAGATGTGCAAAAGCTTTGCAACTAGGAGTCAGAGGAAGTTATTAGCAGGGATGTCTCTACATCATGCTGAGCCTTGGTGGCTCAGTGGTAAAGAACCAGCCTGCCAACGCAGGAGACTCGGGTTTGATCCCTCAGTCGAGAAGATCCTCCAGCAAAGGGAATGGGAATCCACTCCAGTATTGCTGCCTGGAAAATCCCATGGAGAGAGGAGCCTGGTGGGCTACAGTTGCAAGGAGTTGGACAGGATTTAGCGACTGAGCACCCATGCATGCTCTACATCATGGATTAAAAAATTAACGAAAGAAAGAAAGGGAAAATTTTATTGGAGCCAACCTGAGGATTATAACCTGGGAGATAGTCTTTCAGAACGCTCTGAGGACTTCTCCACCCACCAGATGTCAAAACACAGTCATATGTTAAGTTTTTGAGACAAAGCGTTATTAAAATATTGAGTTTACTCAATCCAGATTGAGTACAAAGCAAGTTGTGGGACATGGGTCATTTTGATCCCTTAACAAGATTAAGAAGGAAAGTCTTCTGATGATATTAAGAAGGAATGTTACTAAGGAAGTCTGATAAATGCACACTAAATAGGAGGGAGGAGGCCCAAACAGGCAAGGAAACATTTTACATTTAAATTTTATCTTGCTGGGATTTCCCTGGTGGTCCAGTGGTAAGACTTCACCTCCCAAAAGCAGGAGATGCAGGTTTGACCCCTGGTTGGGGAACGAAGATCCCACAAGCCTCAATAACCAAAAAGCCAAAACATAAAAAACAGAAGCAATACTGTAACAAATTCAATAAAGACTTTAAAAATGATCCACATCAAAAAAAAATTTTTTTTCTCTTGTCTTGCCATAAAACAAGAATTTAATTTCATCAATGCCGAAACTCTGCATGTTTTCCACTCTCAAGCCTGTTTTTCATGCAGTTGGACAGGATAGAAATCCCTTTACTCAGCCTTAAGCAAAACCAGGTGATAGCTCCAGACCTAAGAGATCACTGATAGAGTCAGGCCCAGCCCCATCCTAGGGGAGGCCGCTCAGAATATTTTGGTGATTCCTGTCCTTCCCCCCTCCCAGCTAGGGCTCAGGAGGTGCTGGGCAATGTGCTTATATCTCTATCCCAAAGCCAATGAAAGGGGAAGGCTGGGAGGCATCCTCCTGATGAGAGGAGATATCACAGCACAGTGGTTAAAAGCAGGGTGTGGCCCCCGCCCCCCCACCAAAAAGCTTCGAGCCCCACCACCATGCCCTTCCTCTTTGAAGCATTGTGGCCAAGTGACTTAACCAATGTGAATCTCAGCTTCCTCATCTGAAAAATGGGGTAACAATAGTTCCTGCCCTGAGCGGGGAGAGAGAAATTAAAAGGTTGAGTTTAACACAGATACACTATTATGTACCTGGAGGAGGGCATGGCAACCTACTTCAGTATTCTTGCCTGGAGAATCCCCAAGGACAGAGGAGCCTGGCGGGCTACAGTCCATGGGGTCACAAAGAGTTGAAGTGACTGAAGTGACTTAGCATGTATGCATGCATGAATATACATACATACATACACATATTTATGTGTATCTGAATCACTGTACTATACACCTGAAAATAACATGACATTATAAATCAACTATACTTCAATTAAAAAAATAATAAATAGTAACTTCCTCGACAGCACTCAGGGGTTCCCTCCTCCAGGCAAGTCCCTGGGACCCCCCCACTCCTGGGGCACTCCCTCTGGACTCCCTCCCGATGGGTTGGACCTCTCCTCTCGGGGCTGTCGCTGTCTGGTGGAGTGAGCGATCTGTTTCTCCGAGTGGACGAGGTGCTCTCAAGGAGCAGGAGCTTTCTTCATTGCTGAAGACACACAGCCACTGAAGGCCTCTAAATAGGGAGCTGAAGCAGACTGTTTGCCCTTGAGGAAATGGGAAACCCCAAGAGATGACTGAAGTGATGGGGGGAGAGGTGGTTGGGTGAGACCACGGGTGGGAGGGATGGGCCCTGGGACCCTACCGGTCCTTGTGCAGCTTCAGGAGCCTCTTCACATCCTCTCTGCTCCCAGGGACTGGGCCGGCCCTCTCCAAGGCCTCCTTCAGGAGCTGACTCTTCTCTAGGCCGAAGACATGAGGGGGAGCAAACCCGGTGGTGGGGGGCGGAGGCGGCAATGGAGGTGGTGGGGGAACAGGGGCCTGGAAACTCGAGGGTGGAAAAGCTAATTCGGGGAGGTTTGGGGTAAGGGGAGGAAGTGGGATATTAAGGGCCTGGGATGCAGGGGTTTCAGGAGGAGGAATTGGTGGCTCTAGAGGAGGAGAACATGGAGAAATCATTTTGGGGTCTGTGACTTAGGCTGAAAGATCGAGAATGGGAGAGGGGACAGATCCTCCAAAATGTGGTCACAGGGATGGAGAGTCTGACGGTCTTAAAGCTGAGCTCCTGATCTGGGAGCTGAAGTTGGGATTGCAAAAAAAAACAGGGCTAAAATCTGGAACCTTGGGAGAAGGGATTGAAGCTGACGCAAATCACAAGGAATCTGAGGGTTAACGGGTCCTTTAATGTGCAAACAGATCTGTGGTACAGAGTTGGGATGCAGAGCTCAACGAGTGAGGCTTAGTAGGAGTTAACTTCTTATTCCTGGGCTAGTTTAGAAACTTGGGAAATTATGGGACACGAAAGCCCAGGCCTGGGGCAAGGCACCTAAAGCGTGGGATTTAGGACCCCTGGGCTAATAACTGGGAGAATTTAGAATAGATCCCACCCCCTCGCATCTCAGACCCGTTAGGAACCTTAGAGCTGACCTTTGAGTCAGGAGGTCAAAAGGACACTTGGCAGGGAAAATAGCCTAATTGTGGAGGAAGTCCTGAAATCGGGGCGCAGCAGGAAGTCTTGTGGGCTGGAGAAGGCTCGCAGATCGGAGATCGTTGTGAGCCCCTAAAACGGGTGTGGTAACAGGGTAGGGGTGTAAAGCGCGCCTACCCTTGCCGCAAAATGGCTGCCGCAGCGAACAGCCTTTCCCAAATCCCGCGGTAAAACTCGCAACTCAAGTCCGCCCCTTTAACGATCACGTGACAGAGACGGGCTGCCAAAGAAAGGCCTTGGAAGAGACTGCCGCGAGAATCGAGTCCTGATTGGCAGGAAGCGGGTGAGGGGCGCGGCCTTCACTGATTGGTCCGTAGTCGCGTGCGCCTCTGCTGAGGCGGGAACCCAATTGCCGTTTTTATTGGCAAAATCTGGGTCTGGGAGCGAGCCTTACTCTGATTGGCCAGGCTACCAAGTTTCCGCGCAGAGATTGGCTTGTAGACAGACAAAGGCGGGTCCAGAGGAAGAAGTTTTGTGGTCGGCGCTCAGCAGCGTAGCAGGCACCGCTTGCGGGATCTGAGACTATTCCGGTGAGTATTGGGTAGAAGCGGCCGTGGGCGCCTGGCGGCGGAGCGCTTGGCGCCCGGGCTTTCCTGCGCCTCGTGTAGCGGGAACTATTTTTTTTCTGCGCGAGGCCGGTGTTCGGGAAAATCGTGCCGCCTGCCTTAACTGGCTCTTACATCCGGGCCTTTTCTCCTGGGCTGGCCTTTGAGCGCGTGGGCCAGTGGGAGTCGCCACCTAGGCGGAGCCTAGGCCGCTCCGCCTACTAAGTCGAGTAGAGCATCCTGGGACTCGTAGTAAACCTCACGAGATTTCCCTCACCACGCGGGGAGGAGAAGCTGTGTTCTGCGTTTGCTTTGTTTTCCGAACCGTGCTTCCCTCTTCCCTCCTCTTTACCTTACTTGACTTTCTCTTGGAAGGAAGATCCTTAAGCAGCCCGTGTGGGACAAAAGGATTTTCAGAAACCCAGGACTGAGTGGGACTTTTTCGTTCTTTCAGACCTACCTCAGCAACTTACTCCATGGCAGTTCCCGAGACCCGCCCCAACCACACTATTTATATCAACAATCTCAATGAGAAGATCAAGAAGGATGGTGAGTTTTAGGGATAGTCCGGACACCAGGCTATCCCACACGAGCCTGCCCCCTCTTCTGTCCCCAGCATCTATGTCTGTTCCTCAGCCTTCTCCCGCCAAACTCTTTAAGAGTCCACCCTTCGGCCTTTGCACAGGCAGTGCGTTTGGTATTTCCTCATTTTCTCTTACACTTTTCCCGTTAACCTGGTCTTTCAAGGTCTTTCACGGTTTCAGCTTCAAGACCCCCCCTCCTCCAGGATGCCTCCCCCTTCCCTTTTCCACCCACGTGCCTGCCTCTGACTTCCTAAAACCCTTAACCTCCCCAGTCAAGTCCTGATGTGGCTATCAGGGGGCTGTCTCTTTCCTGGCCTTTGAGCTCCAGAAGGGTAAGAACTGCAATTGTTGGTCACTGTCATGCTCTCAAGTGATTAGCCCACAGTGAAAACGTTTCATTTCAAAATAAAGTGAAATGAACCATGATGGTGGGTAACACTGGGTACCAGGTGCTGATGTATAAATAATGATTACATTTAACTTTCACAGCAACCCTGCAGGAAGGACCTATTGTTCCCACTTCTCAGATAAGGAAACTGAGACTGCGGAGAGATATGGTTTGCCCAAGGCATACAGCATGGAAACGTGGTTGAGACCACTATATGGAATTCTGGTTAAGAACTCGATTCTAGATGTGACATACTTTTCTTTTTTCTTGAGCAAGTTATCGCTTTTTATTGAGCCTCATTTTTTTTATATATAGGAAAGCTGGGCAAAATCATATAGGAAAACTGGGCAAAATCTTTGCACAGGTGTTATGGGGAATATATGAACTAAACTTCTATGCTTTTTTTTTTTTTTATGGTACCTAGCAGTTAGTAAGGGTTGGATATAAGTGTTAGCTCTTATTATCTCCTCAAGAAAACTGTAAGGAGAACTGAAGAAGCATGCTGGCATTAAGTTGAAGTTACCGATAAAGTTGCTATTGAAGATAATAAACAAGCCATGTAAATTCCTCATATATTATTAGAGCATTGTGCCCAGCCAGTTCTCTGTGGAGCTGTGGACATGGTGACTGAGACAGTCCTGGTCCTGACTTCATGGAACACAGTCTAGTAGAGATGACAGACCTGCTCCCAGACAGTGATAGCCCAGAGTAGCTATGGCCATAATTGGGGGAAGTTGAGGCATAGTAGTCAAGGCTGGGATTGGGCACTTGGAAAGAGGTATTCAGGTTCATAGAACAGGAGACATTTTGGGAACGCCTACCAGGTAGAGGAAGCAGCATTTGTGTTACAATGAGGCAGAAGAGTGACTAACCTGGACCAGCACGTGCAAATGTCCAGGGGCAAGAGAGAGCCCAGGGCATCTTGGGAACCACATGTACTGTTTTGGGTGCCTGAGACCTAGAGGCTGGTGATGCATGAAGAACATTCAGGCAAGCAGTGCACACTGGCTCCTGAGGCCTTGAGGGCTGGGTGGGGTGTTTTACTTCATCCTGAGGGCTTTGGGGAGCCAGGCAAGGGATGCAGTTAATTGTGGAAGATCTTTCCACCTGTGGAGGCTGAACTTGCGTGGGCAAGAAAGGAGACTGGGGAGAGGCCCAGCACCTAGGGGAATGACTAAGGCCCACACTAGGTTCATGGGGATGGCAGGTGGAGACAAATCTCGGAAATGTCATCAGGATTTTTGGCTATTTGCTTTCCTCTTTACTTGATCCCCCTTTTCTTTCCTAATGTCTCTTCGGCCGGGTATCTTAAGCTCAGGTGCCTTCTTTGCATAAGGCTGGTACCCTTTCCTGGCTGTCCATTTGCTAGGGAGGTTTGGTGGTCTTGGGTTCAGATGGACTTGTGTCCTGAGCCAGTGACAGATCCTCTGAGAGCCTCTATCCACATTAGTAAAATTGGGGCAGTTATAATTGCTACCTCATGGAGTAGAGGTAAAAATTCGGTGAAGTTATTCCCAGAAATCATTTACTACTATGTTTCTTCAGGCAAATGTATTTGGAGATTTGTGTGCTGGCAACTGTTCATTAGGGTTTTTTTTTTTTTTTTTGGGCTCACACCAAGGGGCTTAGGAATTTTAGTTCCCTGACCAGGGATCAAACCTGGACCCTTGTCAATAAGAGCACAGAGTCCTAACCACTTGACCACCAGGGAGTTCCCTGTGGGGATATTGTGATAAACAAATAGGATAGACTTGTACCTCTTCAGAAAGAGGACCAAACAAAAAGGAAACAAACATAATGTCAGGAGGTGGGAAATGCCTTGAAAGAAAAGCAAGTAGGTTCTCACAGTGGGGGAAATGACATGAGGGGCCTCTTATTTCACCAGGGTGGTCACGGAAGGTCTCAGGTGGGAACATCTCTGCTGAGTCCTGGGTGACTGGAAGGAGGCAGCCATGTACACATCAGGAGAAGGTTGCTCCTGGTAGAGGGAGCAGTCAGTGCAAAGGTCCTGAGGCAAGGTTGCTGTGACGGGCCTGAGAAAGGGCTGGGAGGCCAGTGTGGCTGGAGCTATAGGAGTGAAGATGGGTCATGGGGAGAGATGAGGTGGGAGAAGTCAGCCAGGGCCACATCAGAGGGGCTCATGTCAGGGTGCTGGAGACAGAGGAAAAGTGCTTGCATTTATCGAGCATTTACTGTGTGCCCTCTGTATGTGTGACTCGTGTTTCCCTGCAGCGACCTTGTTGGGTAGGTATCTTGATTGTTGACCTACTACAGAGTCAATGCACACGACCATCTGAGTGGTTCTAGGCTGCTGATGGTATCGCTCAGTACTCTGTCAGTGGGCTGATGGTGTCCCCTCTGGGCTGCGTTTCCTCTGAAAAGCGGAGCTCCAGCCCGAGGACATGATACCCCGGCCTACAGTCACCGCTGGGTCTTTGCTCTCCCCACTGCAGAGCTGAAGAAGTCCCTGTATGCCATCTTCTCCCAGTTTGGCCAGATCCTGGATATCCTGGTGTCACGAAGCCTGAAGATGAGAGGCCAGGCCTTTGTCATTTTCAAGGAGGTCAGCAGCGCCACCAACGCCCTGCGTTCCATGCAGGGCTTCCCCTTCTACGACAAGCCCATGGTGAGCACCGGGTGTGGAGGGTATGGGCGTGTGCTTGGGCCAAGTGCTGTTGCAGGCTGGATGGGTCTGGACTGCTGTCCTGTAGATCAGAGCCTTAAGGATGGGAGTTCCTCCTGTTGGTCCTCGGCATCCACTGTTCACTGTACTGGGGCTGTGGGGACACAAAGCAATCAAGGGAAGTCCCAGCTCTGCCCTCGTAGACCCACAGTGCCACTGGAGAGACACGCCTGTCTCCAGGTGGCGACAACCCGAGGGCTCAGGGCTGGGACGAGCGAGTGCACAGAACTCAGGGAACTTACTCTCACCCAGTCTGGGAGTTCGCAGGGGAGCCTTTCTGGATGAGTAAGAGTTGGAGAAGAGTAGCTGAGAAAGACAAATGAACTAAGAATGGGAGATAAGCAAGAACCTGTGTAACTGAGGGAGTGAGTCACATTCATTCCGCAGAAGTGGAGGGTGGGAGATGGTGGGATGGGCATGGCCTGGAGAGTTGTCAGAAGTCAGGCTAAGGAGCTGATCCTGAAGGTGGATTTGATTTCAAGGTTGCTGGCAAACCATGCAAGGGTTAGGGAGATGCCTGTGGCTGTTGGGGAGGATGGGTTCAGTTGTGGGAGATGGGGTTCAGTTGTGATGGTGAGGCTGGGTCAGGATCCCAGATCTGGGATAAGGGGAGATTTCATCTAGGATCAGGGTTACAGTGATGGCTAACACTGGGTACCAGGTACTCATGTATAAATCATGGTTACATGGGGCCATGGGATGGGAGGAAGTGGGTTACAGATGTTCAGCAGGCCTTGAACAGACAGGGGTTCTGTTATTCAGAGTCCATGCTCTGATCCAGAATTCCTGCCATATCAGTCAGTTCTCTCTCCCTCTCTCAGTTCTTCTGAGTTTCACCTGTTGGGAATATGCCTCCCTGAACCAGCAGGGTGGTGACAGCAAGTGTCAGTACCTGCAGGTTCCAGGCATGTCATTTCACGTGGAACACATTGGCCCCAGGGGCACAG